GGAACTTGCCAAAGATATGTAGGCTGTTAACATGAGCTGAAATTTGAGTGAACACAATTTTTTAAACAATGTTTGCCATGAATGCAAATTTGGATATGGGCCTATAGTTTGATACATCTTCAGTGTCTAAATTTGCCTTTTTAATGAGCGGGTGCACAATAGATTGTTTAAAGAATGTAGGAACAATGCCACTACGTAGAGCTGAATTTATAATGGCTAAGATGCTTGGATGGGTGCAGGTAAATATATCTCTTAAGGGGTGCTCACACCAAATGCAAATGGCGCGAATAAGGCGAACGATTGATATGTTAACCCTATGTAAAGGCGCGTTGACGTTCAAATGAAGTTCTGCGGCGCGAATGGGGCGCGATTCGCATGTTTTGAGCAGCGTGAACTGCCGTTGACACGCAAATTCCCGAAAGGGCGGGGCTTGCAAAATTCGCCAAAGTTCAAAGTTTTTGAACTTTCAGGGAATATTCGCGTCACATCAACCAGTCAGGGACCGTGTTCTGATAGTGATGTATAATTGTGAGACAGACGTGAACTTTCATTCAACATGGAGAACACACTCACTGTTCCCGTGGGAAACGAGCCGATATCATACAGTACAGAGACCGGAATAAGCTCCACAGAGCAGGACCTTCACCAGACTCCGTCTCCCTCTCCTTTATTCTGGTCCTGGTCTCAGTCCCGGTTTGGTCCCGGGCTTTGTCCTGGTCTGCGATGCCAGACTTTTGCACTGCATACAGACTGAACCAGGACTAAACCAGGACTGAAGCAGGACTAAAACACAACTAAACCAGGACTGAGCTAGGACTAAACCAGGACTGAACCAGGCCTAAACCAGCCTGGTCTCAGTCTCAGTCCTGGTCTGGTCATGGTCTGGTCTGGTCCCGGTCTGGTCCTGGTCTCAGCCTCGGCTCCGTCCAGGCTGCCAGTGCCTCAGTTAGTTCCTGGAGAGACATGTGCCTAAATTCAGCAGGGTGGTGGGAATCACAGGGCATAACTTGGGGGGTGTTGGGGGGATGGAGCGAATAATCTGTGCTCTAATATTGAGAATTTTATTCATAAAGAAGTCCTTGAACAATTCACAGCAGTCCACTGAGTTGGTGAGGCAGGCGTGTGAGGACGGAGGATGTAGTAGGGAGTTCAAAGTCTGGAAAAGGATTTGAGGTTTCTGAGTATTTGATTCAATGATGTTGGAAAAATATTCACTTTTCGCAGATTGTATAGCTTTCTGATAGCACTTTAAGAAAGATTTAAATATTTCATAAGATAAATGAAGTTTGTCCTTTTCCCATCTTCTTTCTGTTCTTCTACACATTTGTCTAAGTGTGCGAGTAGAGTCATTTAGTCACGGTGTTGGTGTACTTTTAACTTTGGGTCTTCTGGGTTTTGGGGGGCCAACAGAATCCAAAATTTCAGAGCAAAGAGAGTTGAAATTGTTAGTTAAGTCCTCTATGGCTACGCAGGCGTTTGGGCCCTCGGGGGCCCCAAGCTGCTGATGGGCAGTCAACAGTTCAGATCAGTTGGCCACAGTCAAAGAGAGTCAACAGTCTAGATTTGAAACAGTAAAACCTGATGTAAAAACAAGGTCTAATATGTGTCCTTTTTCATGCGTGGGTGTTGGGTTAGATTGAAACTTTCAGCTGCCGTGACAAAACCTTTTCCTAAAGGCTTTTGGGGGGCAGCAGATGTGAATATTGTCTGGTCTTCGTCTGGTCCCGGTCTCAGTCCTACACCAGGACTGAACCAGGAGCGTCGAGGACAGGCCCAAAGGTGCACCCACGTAGACTGTCGGGTGATCAGAACTTAGACCGGGACCAGACCAGGACTGAGACCGGTTTAGTCCGGTTTAGTCCTGGTTTAGTCCTGGTTTAGTCCTGGTTTAGTCCTGGTTTAGTTCTGGTTTAGTCTTGGTTTAGACCTGTTTTAGTCCTGGTTCAGTCTGTATGTGGCGCAAAAGTCCGATATCACAGTTTATGTCATAGAAACATGAAACGGCTGTTATCCGTTTTTTCCGTTATTCCTTTAAACACAAAACTGAAAACTGAAAAACAAATTTTCATTTTGGTTTTGGAGACAAATAATGAAGAAAATAGTTCTTTTTTTCCTTTTTTATATTATTTAAAAAAAAAAAAAAAAAAAAATGATATGATACATAGATTGCAATAAATCAAAAATTGGTAATATCACAATATGCAAAATCAGAATGTTGAGTATATCTTCTGAGCTGAGTCAAAATAAAATGAGCAGAAACATCAGTTATAAGCTACCAAACAATAAAGAGATACTCTGCACTTTTGTGGTTCATTTTCTGCTTTTATACTTAACTAGCACATCTGAACACATCCTGATGCATAGTTAAAATATCTGAATATGGTAATGAAGATAATGAATAAGATGCTGAGATACTGATTCTTATTTGTAAAGCTCAGCCCTACTGTTTCCATTTGAGAGATATTCAAATACTCTATGTTAAATTGTTTGTTACTGTGAAATCAATGCTTATGCTTAAAAAATGTACTCACATGAATATTCTTGTTTTACACCGTGTTCAATATAAAATACAATAGTGCTCTGAAACAGTGTAATAATTGAAATAGGTCCACTGACTTAATTTACAAAAAGTGCAGAACTCACTCTCTGCTGCTGTTCTTGCCTCTTCATAAAACATTTCACAGATTTTCATCAAACAACAGACTTTCATTTACAGTGTTTTTATTGTTGAGAATGTTAAAGCACTTTGAATAACTCTGTGTACAAATGATGCTTTAGAAATGAACTCTATGTCTGTATTGTGCTGGAAGGAAAGACCTGAGAAAGTTGTATTATTTTAAAGTAAATAAATACATACATTTAAATACAATATAATACATTTAAAAAAAAAACATTCTTAAATTACCATGACATCATCAAAATTCCGCGTGCACCTGCTGGCCGTTGCCACGTTAGCGGCAAAGCGCTTTATGACATCATCATCTTCAGACAGAATATAGGACCACACATCTCAGCACGTTCAGACACTTTTCCACAGTTTGTCGCCTCTTGTGATTTCAAAACAATGGTAGCACGGAGACTGTACGTTTTAGAAGAGGACCGCGCGATCTTGCAAGGTTTGTAGAAGAAATTTTGATGTCATACAATCCCAGCCAAGGGTCAAGTAGCCAAAGTTGTACTATCTTTAAGATTAATTTTTACTTACGATTATTATTAAACGTGGCTACTAAAGTACAAGTAGAAAGTACTGATCCAAAAAGTACACAAGTAAAAATAAAACATCAGAACACTACTTTGAGAAGTAGAGTTTTGTTGAGAAGTTACTTGAGCAAATGTAAATGAAACCACCCATCTCTGGTTTTGACTGTGTTTACCTGAGTGTAATTTGGAAACTTACGTAGAAACATGAAGTAACTAAGTAATAACAATGACATAATGTGTTCACAGGATCCAGGCCGGCCTCGAGCAACTTTAAGGGCGAACCGAGCCTTTTCCAAAACAGGAAAAGGAAAGCCAGTGATCCAGTCTGTTGCTCTGAGCCCAAAAAGTCGTGTTTTCAAACCTCGACCGATGGGTTTGGAGGTGAGACACTGCAGGGCGCTCCCAGGACAGACGACCACACTGAAGGTACTATTGAAGGTACAACTAGTTGTACCTTTATCAAGTAAAATCCACTTGTTGCAGTTTTTCATTGTGACACAAGTAATAATTGATCTGATGTATTTTCAGGCCACAGTCCTTTGGTCGCTCACAGCTTGGACCAACCAAGCAAAACAACAAAAAGGAAAGCCACAGACGCAGGGGACGAAATCCATCCCAAAAAATTTCGTCCTGAATCCACGAAAAAAAACTCAGAGCATGAGAGTTTGGAGACGAGGAGGGAGAAAGAGAAGAAAAGCCTGAGTAAAGCAATGAAGAGAGTGGCTAGAGATAGAGGTACACTACAGACTAACAATACCGAGAATCAGGACTAGATGTAAACACTAAACCAGGACTAAACCAGGAACGAGACCAGGACTGAACCAAGACTAAACCACAAATAAATCAGGACTGAACCAAGACTAGACCAGGACTAAACCACGACTAAACAACGAATAAAGCAGGACTGAACCAGGACTAAACCAGGACTAAACCAGGACTGAACTAGGACTGAACCAAGACTAAACCACGAATAAACCAGGACTGAACCACGATTAAACCACGACTAAACCAGGACTAGACCACGATTTAACCAGGACTGAACCAGGACTGGGAACACCTCGGGGTCCCCCCGGAGGAGCTGGAGGACGTGTCTGGGGTGAAGGAAGTCTGGGAGTCCCTGCTTAGGCTGCTGCCCCCGCGACCCGGCCCCGGATAAGCGGACGAAAATGGATGGATGGATGGATGAACCAGGACTAGACCAAGACTAAACCAGGATAAGACCAGGACTAAACCAAGACTAAACCAGGACTAAACCACGATTAAACCAGGACTAAACCAAGACTAAACCAGGACTAAACCACGATTAAACCAGGACTGAACCAGGACTAAACCAAGACTAAACCACGACTAAACCAGGACTGGACCAGGACTAAACCAAGACTAAACCACGACTAAACCAGGACTGAACCGGGACTGAACCAAGACTAAACCACAAATAAATCAGGACTGAACCAAGACTAGACCAGGACTAAACCACCACTAAACAACGAATAAAGCAGGACTGAACCAGGACTAAACCAAGACTAAACCAGGACTAAACCAAGACTGAACTAGGACTGAACCAAGACTAAACCACGAATAAACCAGGACTGAACCACGATTAAACCAGGACTGAACCAAGACTAGACCAGGACTATACCAGGACTAAACGAGGACAAGACCAGGACTATACCAAGACTACACCAGGACTAGACCAGGACTACACCAGGGCAAGACCAGGACTAGACCAGGACTAAACCAAGACTACACCAGGACTAGACCAGGACTACACCAAGACCAAAATGAGTGCTGTCACTAAAGGATGATCATACTAATAATATTTTTTCTATTCAGTGAGTGACTTTGAGACAAAGTACGAGGAGCACGAGGAGCTCGGAGAGGGTTCATTTGGGTCTGTCTTTTCCGGTGTGCGGATATCAGACCAACAACCAGTAAGATATTTACTTTTCATCTTTTACAAAACATCAAATGCACAGTTAATATAAGATAAAATTATCTAAGGTGCAGTAAATCATTTTTAATGTAAAGGGTCAGTCTCCATGGAGATGTTGTTTTTGTCTTGGAGACTGTTAAGAATTATGAATTATGAATCTATGAATTTACCTATAATTTCACATTTTCTGTCTACTCCATTATCTAATGAAGTTCTAATTTCTGATTTTCAGGTGGCAATTAAACACATCAAACGAGAGGATGTGGATTTTGTTCCAGTGGTAAGTGAAATATTTGTTGTTGTTATATTTTCGTTTGTAGTTTTGGAATATCATTTTCCTCTGGGTTTACCTCTGATTGTGTACTCATCTGTTTTGTTTACATTGTTCATTTTTAGACCATTGAAAAGGAGGTTTACTCGGTCCCTGAGGAGGTGGTCCTCATGACCAAAGCAGCTCCGAATTGCCACTCAGTTGGAAAGGACCCCTCGGTAAATCTTCTAGACTGGTACCTCCAAGACCAGGAGGTAGTGCTGGTCATGGAGAGACCCACCCCTTCTGAAGACCTGTTTAACTACTGTCTGAAGAACGCACCACTGTCGGAGGACCAAGCAAAGGTGCGCCAAAAAAAAAAAAAAAAAGTCAGAAAAATAACCAAAAAAAAACTTTCATGAAAAATATACATAGGCTTAAATATTTAATTATTAATTAATTAATTCATATATTTTTAAGAGTATTGAATTTGGAAGACAAAGTTCAATCGATTTTAACTCTTTCAATCTTTTCTTTTTCTTTGTTGTCTTGTCTCGTTCATTTGCCCCTTTTTATATAAATTCTTCTCGTGCCACTTCTTCAGAGTTGAAGTTGTGGCTTGAAGAATAATGACACCACACCAAAAATGTATTTGTTTATTTTATTTTGTTTTGCATTTATTTTAGCTACCTTATCTTGGAAAAAGTGAGAAATAACATGGATGTTTAAACATCTAATTCAGTCTTTCTCAACCTGTGGTCCTTTGCAGTTCAGATGATATTCTGATTGTGTCCTCCTTTGGGAAAGTCCTGTAGTTTAACTTTAGAACAGCTCCTGCTTTAGTCCTATGGTCATGATTAAGAACTTGTTTAGACCTCATTTTCATTTTAAATACATTTTGTTAATTTTCGAATCCACGTTCTTCTTATTGTCCGGCAGGTGCTGATGCGACAGGTTGTGGACGCGCTGGTGGACCTTCACGCTAAAGAGGTTTTCCATAGAGATATCAAAATGGAAAACCTCCTGGTCCAAACCACAGAGTCCGGTTCCCGGATTCGTATCATAGACTTTGGTTGTGGCTGTAACGTCCAATCAAACCCCTACTACGATTACAACGGTAATATTCCTAACCACCATAGTAGTAATAGTAATAGTAGCAGTACAATATCATTAAAGCCGCACTATGAAATCTATCAACCTTTCTACTTATTTCTGTGTTTGTCATTGTTTTTCAGTTTTTCAGGGACAGAAGAATTTGCTCCTCCTGAGGCCTTCAAGAATAAAGGTTACCACGCTGGTCCAACCTCAGTGTGGCAGATCGGAGCTCTACTATACGAGCTACTGCGCTCTGATGAGAAAGAAGAGTTCACCACAAAACGCTGGACCAAGAGAAAACTCAGTCTGAGTGGTGTGTCGCAAGGTACGAGCAGAGAAATACAGACATTATTTAGTTAGAGTTATAGTTATATGTTGTACTGTGGAACATTCCTGGCAACGTAATAACATTTCCATGGAGAAAAGCCGGTGGTGGACCCTCCCTCTGACAAGATAGATTACACAGTTCATTCACCCTTAAACAATGCACAAAATACAGTATTTAAAGAATGGACCATATGAATTGGGGAATGTACATCTCAAATGCACAAAAACACAGATTTTTCCCACATCTTTAATATTGTCAACATGAGTTTTTGTCATTTAATATCTTCTTAACTCACAGTGGGATGAGCAACTATGAAATGTACACTCTAAAACTTCTCTTGTTTGTTTTTGCAGAGTGCTGTCACTTCCTTCAGGCCTGTCTGGCAGTGAACCCAACTCATCGAATAAGTTTGGACCAGCTGAGCCACCATCCGTGGTTCAGTGTAGTTTAACACTGTATTGTCCAACCCCCTGTACATATCCTGTGTAAATAAGTTTTAATAAACATTCATTACCGCAAATATGTTGTTTTGTCCTACTTCATGAAATACACTGCAATGCAATGTTTATTTATTTTTTTTTATTTTGTGAAAGAGATTAACTAAATGCACTGGTGTCATTGATTATAACTACGAGGCAGAATTTTCTTTTTTATGATGATGGTGAACTTAGGTCACTTGCTTACTTATATTTTTAAATAATCTTTTTATTATAGTCAATAAACACCAAACTATGGAGCCCGCCCGATGACATCCCGATCACGTACCCGAAAAAAGATATTAAATCATTGCCTCAAATTACTATTTTGTTCCCACAATATATAATTCGTTCCCACACTTTAGCTAAAATCGTTCGCACGTTTAAGCTATATCGTTCGCACGTTTTAGATATATCGTTCGCACGTTTTAGATTTATCGTTCGCACATTTTGATTAAATCGTTCCCACATTTTAGCTAAATCGTTCCCACGAATTAAGAAAATGCCGCCAATTAAACAAAACAGGGCGTGGACCTCGGACTTCAGCAGACAGGAATAAAGGTAAGATATATCATTATTTATGTTTTTTCCCCCCATTTTTGACAACGTATATTGTTCCCTACTCAAATGTATGCTTATGTAAATGTAGGCTTATATAAAATCCAGGATCGTGTAGTAGCGTGGCATAGTGTGCATGCTATAGCTAAATAAAAAAACAAAACAAAATGCTAGCTTAAATACTAGCGAGCTAATGCTGCTTGCTTATAGTGGAAATGTTATGGAGTAAAGTGACAGTAAAATTGTCCTAATTGTTTACCGTGTGTTCATGTAGCAATAGATGCTCAACTGCTGCTTTTTTGAGGGAGCGTAACACAGAGGAGGGAGTCATCCAGACACTGAAGGATGAAAATGTAAGTTTCTCTGTTTTTCCACCTCAGAACATTGATCTCGTAACATCTATAGCCTACAATACAAGTGCCAAACACACATCCATGTAGAATGTAAGATACCGATTTGGATGAAATGCGAATAGACCTGTATAGACCCAGTGTTAGCCCCAATTTCGTCTTAGCGTTAGCCATCTATCACCACAAACTATGAAATACCAGGACTGTTTTGAAGACTTACAACCACTCAACTACACATGAGTAACACCAGAGCCTGATAGAAATCATTGCCACATGTAGAATTGTTTTTGCATTGTTCATTGAAGTAGTGATTAGCATCGAAATGAAGTTATATGCTAACGACCACGTAATAAACATTTCATAAATCTAATGCTATGCTGGACAATAATACACTAAAAAATAAAGAGGGCCACAACAGTTTGACAAGAAACCCCTCGATTTATTTCATCCAGAGCCACATAAATCCTGCATACAGTGAACTTTAAAGAATAGTGCTGATTGACACACATAAGTAGACCGTGTCCTCAGCATCAAGCACCTCACTCCTGGAATAACTCTGGCACTTTGTGTCAGGACCTGATAAAACTTTACATTTATTGTCCTGAGTATATATTTAATGCATACCTTTATACATGGTTATGCTATTACCATGATACAATGTGTAACACATACGAAATGGAAACATGTGAAATGGAAGCGTCTCTCGCTAACTTAACGTCACTTAGGCTAATATTTACCTTTATCAAACGCCTCAACAGCTAAGGATCTGGTGGTCAACGGTGTCAAAGGCTGCACTTAGGTCCAATAGAATCAGGACAACTTAGACTATGTTTACACTGAAACAAATCTGCGTATCACCCTATCACTGTCTCAGAAAAGATTTGCGTCCAACACGTCATTTCTGTGTACACAAGCCTTCCCCATTCACACAGCTTTGAGCATATTTGTTTAAGTTTTACAGAAATGAAATTTGCATAAAGTGAGCGCTCAAAAAACAGCTCGCTCCTTGTGCACTGATGTCGAACTAAAGGACACGACTCAGTGGAATATGAGTGTTCTTTCTGTGACAGAGGGGTGTTCTGCTAATAGTAAGTCTGTTCTGTGCTTCTATCGCGTTGGAGATGGTTCATGTTAAACTTTTCAGGGATTATACATCTGAGGGTCATATGCATAGACCGTTTATATGAATGGACATATATTCTAGCCTCTTAGTGTTTTAGTGGTGAATTATTTCGCCTACATCATAGATCTACATAGATACATAGACCTACATTAGCGTTTTTCAGGCGTCCACACAGTGCCGGATCAGATCACATGAATTCGTGGGAGCTGGCAGCACCGGATCATTCCGTTTCTGAAGCCATTTTCCATCGGATTAGTGTGGACGAACCCCGCATCCCCAACGAAAATGACTGGAATATGAACTAGGGTGGACAGGGCCATAGACATTTTGACACAACAAAGAAAAGAGCAGGTACTATCGCTTTGTCCGGAATGTTTAAGAATATGACTTTATGTTTGTGTAGCATCTGTATAATTACAAGTGTTTTATTGACCAAAAATCCTTGCATTTTTACTACATGTGAGCGCCCCTCCACAAATCTGAATTGTAAAGTCACCTGCTTCAAGATAAACCATTTTACCCTCTTACTGAGGAACATTCACGGCAAAGAAATCTTCATGGAAACAAGAAGTTGGCGGTTCATTTAACTAACTAATAACTTCCCTAATATGTTCTCAAACTAACAAGCAACAAATCGAGCAATTAAAGTAAAACTAACCCTGAAATAGCAAAGTGCTGATGGAATGGAATGAATGGAATGATTAAAATTAGGATGGTTGCCATAGCAATTAGCAATTCAAGGCAAAGTATCAGATCGTTTGAAGTGGAAAAGATCTCTCGAAATGCTGCATAGAACAGGATGCTGCAACAAAACTGAAGAGGTCTCTAAAGGAAAATGAAATGTCTTCAACTTTTCAAACTTAGTCCAGCTGACTTCTTGTACAGACATTAAATATTGGCCAGTACTGTGCAGCTTACTCTGACCACAGCACAGAAAGTTCCAAAGTTTCCCTGTATCTGGTCAGTGCGGCTCGAGAGATATTTGTGTTATATTCGTGAGCTTGTACAACGGTCTGTTCCCTGTGAGCCTATATGACAGAAAGCTGCTCTTTTCTGGCCAATGGACTGAAGGGAAGGCTACAGCAATTTTCCAGAATCTACTACTCCCTTCTCTCCCACACACCGTCTCCTCTGCCCCTCCTGCCTGTTTCCAGTAATAGTCAGCCATACATCTCACCGGCTTTCAGGTCTACCAGTGGAGATATTGCAATGGCTCCGAGGTTGTTGCTATTTCTTATCTAAAATACTTTGATTTTTCAACTGCTCCCGGTTTGATCCATCACCTCATATCCCTGTTATATTCCCTCTAATGGCATGGCAACCCTATTCATTAATTCAGGACCTGCAGCCATGTGTGAGCGAGCAAAACAAAGGAAAATAAACACTGCTTCAGAGATAGGGCACAAAGGAATGGAAGTATTAGCATGGGAGAACACACAAACAGCTAATAGTGACTGTTTTGTCCTTGGCTGCATACGCTCTACAACATACGTTTCTGTCTAAGCCTCAACAATGATAAGTATAATATCCAATCTGTGTATTGTCTAAACATGGATGCACAGAAGGTTAGGCAATATTGTCTATGCTTTGTAGCGATGTGTGTAATTAATCTAAGGAAAGATAATCTCAGTGGAAATTATTGTTAGATATCCACAAGCCAGTTTTTACTAACCCATGATGGAGCCGTGCAATCTACTTTGTGAATGTCATCATCTCACTAGTGCTAAAGTGATCAAATATATCAGCCTAGGCAGGAGATATAAGGATAATAACATGAAAAAAAGTAGGAGGATCATCCCAATATACTGACAAACTGATATATTGGACTGTCTCTAGTTCAGACCCACACATTCTGAATATGACTTTTGAGGCACACAGTTGTTTTTGTGGTGTCTGAGCCACTACATGAATTGTCATACAGCTCCTTTTATATCGATACTAAGTGATGTCTGTGTTATTGTTAGAGAGGCTGTCTCTTTTTCCATGGTATAGTATATCCTGTATCTGTGGTTATAATAAGGGGAGCCTATGGATGTCTGATAATTGTTCTGTACTGCCTGTTCTAGTATTACATTTATCAGTTATTGTCTTTTGGTTATTTCTTAACACTTTACACCACCAGTGGCCATTGAAGGTAAGCAGCTGTATTGTGCGATTTATTAACTACATTTTCAATGGGGAATTCACATTTTCTAAGACTATATTGTAAACCAGGGGTGTCCAAACTTTCTTCATCAAGGGCCACATAGTTACAAACAGTTGAGGCAGAGGGCTGATCGAGGGCCGTAGACTGGTGCTCAATACAGTGAAGGATTGCTAAGATCCTTAAAACTGTCCACTAAATATTAAATATTAGCTTTATCAAGGTAGATTTTCCAAAAACTTGCAGTAAAAAGTAAATTTTTAATTGAAGCAAGGTCATTTGGGCCATTTCACCTGGAAGCGGCCAAGAAAAATTTGTCTGAGGGCTGCATTTGGCCCACGGGCCATAGTTTGGACATGCCTGTTGTAAACCTTTTGCATTAATTTACTGTAACAGCTAAGGCAAAGAGGTTATTGCTTTGCCTCAGTTGTTACATTGTACAGCATTAAACGTATTATTTATTCATCTACATGAGGACAAGAATTCCACTTAATTCCGTATTATACAACAGTAATAACATCTCCATGGACCCAATCAGGTTGCTGACCCCCACCAGAAAATCTACTCTGTGCACCTTGAAGATACCATTCGTGATTAGATTACCCGAACTGCCCTTGCTGTATTCTCACATACCACCACTAGATGCTGTCTAACTTACTACAGTCTGATTATGTTCCAGCTTTGGTTTGACAGAAGAAGACCAGAGAGCACAGGTGAGTCTGAACAAAGGTCAGGTGAAATAAAATAAACGTACAGATGTCAGCTTTAAATACCAGTGCCCACCTCTTAATAGTTCATTTG